CCTTCTCCAAGGTAGGCTTGTTTATTTTTTTGACAGTTCATGGGATATTCAGTACTGTTCTCCAATAGCACAACTCAAAGTCATGTATTCCTTTTGGGTTACCTTTAATCATTGTCCAACTTTCAGAGCCATTGGAAGTAACTGAAAAGACCATGGCTTGAATCAAATGCACCTTCATCTTTAAACTGATGTCATTGCTTCTTAACACCTTAAAGAGGTTCTTCATTTGCTGACAGCTGGTACCAAAGGTGTTAATTGTGGTTCAAGTAAGATGAAATTGTTGATGACTTTACTCTTAGCTATCATGATGTTGCCTATTGACCCAGTAGTGAGGATTTTTGTCCTCTTGATGTTGAGATGTATATAATGAATATATGAATTCAATGAACATATTCAATGAATATAATGAACATAATGAATGCTGTAGTCTTTGATTGTCTGCAGTAAGTATTTCAAGTCCTCTTCACTTTCAGCAAGCAAGAATGTGTAATACGCATAAAGCAGGTTAGTGAAGAGTCTTCTTCCAATTCTGATACCACATTCTTCATAAAATCCAGCCTATAAAATTAATTTCTCAGCATACAGGGCAAATAGATATGGGAAAGGATACATCCCTAATGCACCTATTTCTTGATCTTAAACCAGGCAATGTTACCTTGCTCTGTTTGGGCAATAACTTCTTGATCTAAGCATAGGTTTTTCAAGAGCACAATTAAGGAGTCTGGGATTAACATTCTTATCAGTATTAGCCATAATTTATTCTAATGCATACAGTCAAGTGTCTTTGTATAGTTAATAAACACAAATTGACATCCTTCTGATATTCTCTAGTTTTCGCTAGCATCCATCTGACATTAACAATGATATTCCTGGTGCCATGACTTCTTCTAAATCCAGCTTTAATTTCTGGCATTTTATCAATGTACTGTTATAGCTGTTTTTTGAAACTCTTCCACAAGATTGTGCTGTTCTAGCTGTTTTTTTTTTTAAATTCTTCCACAAAATTTTACTTGCATGTGATATTAAAGTTATTGTTTGATAATTTCTGCATTCGGTTGGATCACTTTTTAAGAACAGAAACAAATGTGATCTCTTCTAGTCAGTTGGCCAAGTAGCTATCTTCCAAATTTCTTGATTTAGTCTTGTGAGCACACCAGGGCTCTATTTGTTTGTTGAAAAATGGCAATTATTCCATCCATTCCTGGGGCCTCATTTTTTGCCAATTCTTCAGTGTCACTTGAACTTCTTCCTTCATCATAACCAGTTCGTATGCCTCTTCTTGAATTCATTTTGGTACAGTGAGTCTATGTTTTTCCTCCATCTTCTCTGGATAATTCCTGGATCATTCAAAATTTTGCTTACAATATCCTTCAGTATGGCAACTCGAGAAATCGCAGCTTGAGAAATTCCTAATGAGTTCTTCTCTTCTTATTTTCTAATTCCAATTCTCTGCACATTTAATTATAATACTTTGTTCATATTTCATTTAGGAAAAAACCCTCTTAAATTTGAATAACACACTTCTTAAGAATAAATTCAAAGCTGTAAAGTTAGAACTGACTCATAGCTGACCTTCCTTGAGGTTTTCAGAAACTGTAAATCCTAGAAGTGGAGACTGTCCATCTTTCTCTCACGGAGAAGCTGTTGGGTTCAAACCACACGCCTTTACATCTTCAGTATAACTCCCTACCCACAAGGGCATCAAAAGGCTGACAAAAACTTTTTGAAGGTACAAAGTGTACCATCACTTATCTTAGAAAGTATTTTAGAGGGGGAAAATTAATGTATTCACTAATAAAAAAAATCCTATTTAAAATGACTGTATCTTCTATTCCTGTACAATGAATGGAACTCTAGTGTCATAGTTCACAATGAGTTGTGACACTAACCCAAAGACTCTGCTTTTCTTTAGTAATTCTAATCCACTGGCCTTTCCAAGGAAGAAAAATGTGCAGTCTTTACCCATTGCAATGCAGAGCCTTAGAAACCTGATGGAAGGTCACTACCTGTCAGAACCAACTCGAGTTGGTTGAGTACAATGGACCCAGGGAGCTCTGGTGGCCTAGAGGTAAGAACTTTCACTGCCAACCCAAAAGCAAGAGGTCCAAATCTACGAGCTGCTCCTCAAAAGAAATATGGGCAGTTTTCTCTTGTTTAACTTAAAGCTTCTGAAATTCTGCTGGAGGGTCAATTACAAGTCAGTACCAACTCAACATAGCAACAAAGACAATGTACCCCTACAGATATATTTTCTTAGAGCTAGGAATGGTTTAGTTGGTTAACTAAGGAACTCTGGTCACATAATCCATAGGGATTTACATAGCTAACCCAATGACCATACCTATTTATGGGGGTTATTTGCTGTTGCTGTTATGTGCCATCAAATCACCTGTGACTCATACCGACCCAATGTGTAGCAGCTCAGAATACTGTCCTTTCCTGAGCCAGTCTCACTGTCTCTGACATGCCTACCTTCATTATCTCAGTTAGTGTATCAATCCATCTCATCCTGAATCTTCCTCTCCTGGACGGTCCATCACTCTTCTAAGTATGATGTCCTCCAAGGACTGGTCCCTCCTGGCAACATCTCAAAATATGTCAGGTGGAGCTTCAGAATTCTTGCCTTCAAGTAGCAACTTGGTTTAACCCTCTCCACAACAGACCTGTTTGTTCTTTTGGATGATATATTCAATATTCTTCTCCAACACCACAACTTAAAGGCATCACTTCAGTTTTTCTTTTTTTAAAATAACATTTTTATTTTAAACTGATTTATGTACAAAGTTCATATGCATTGTTTTTCACACCAGATCTTTCCCATTTCCTTTATCCGCCCCTCCCTCTACCCATCAAACTGTGTGATCCTATGATTACCCCCTTGCTCATCCTCACCACTCTGCTCCTAAACTTCCCCCTTGGGTCCTTATACATGTTTTACTAGTGGAGTTCGTTCACTTAGCATAATGCACTCCATCCCCTTCCAAGTTAGGTAGTGATTTTCAAGATAATTGATCCTACATGCTGGGTAGTATTCCATGTGTGAATGAATGTACCATAATTTCTCCACCTATTCAATTGTGGTTGGACATTTGGGCTGTTTCCATGTTCTTGCGATGGTGAATAATGCAGCTATGAACATAGGTGTACAAGTCTCAGTTTGTGCCTCAGTTCTAATTTTCTTGGGGTATATTCCAAGCAGTGGAATAGGTGAGTCACATGGAATTTCTATGTTCAGCTTTTTGAGGAAACACCAAATGGAAAACCATTATCCTTCTTCCATCATCCTTAGTCTTGTCCAGCTCTCTGATACCTAGCAAGTCATTTACAGCCTAGGAAATCTGTTGACAGTCACCTATGAATCCACACCAATTCCAAAGCAGTGGCTGACTGATTTCATGCTCACTTTGAGTTGTTCAGGCCCTAGTAATAGAAGACATGAGCACATTGTATTCAATGCTTAATTTTTTTATTGACCTGAATTCTAATATTTAATTAAAATAATTATGCTACAACCCAGCACAAGTTACCTCAGTTAGCCTTTGAAGTTAGTGATTTTTACTTAAGAGTAAATTAATTGATCATAGGTATCTTCATTATTTGAAGAGCACTTACCTGCTCATTAAATGTAAAAAGCTTTTAATGTAAATTGTTGATTCATAGGCAAGATGAATGCTAATGTTGAAAACCTGTTAGAAAAAGGCAAAAAGAAAGTCAAATGATACTTTCAAAAGTAACAGCTGAACTTTAAGGAGATTTTAATTTTCTCCTCCCTCGTCAGCCTAAGTGCTCTGGTCCATTGTAACAAACTGGTGGTGCCGTTATGGCCTTCTACAAGGATAAATGAGTCACAGGCTGACTTCTAGGGTACTAAGCCAGATTCAACTATGCTTCTTCTCACTAACGTTTTGGTATTTTGATCAACTTAAGTAAACTTCCTGAACTCCAGTTTTCTCATTATAAAAATAGACATAATAATAACACTTAAGCCTTGGATTTACTGTGAAAGTTAAAGGAGACCATATGTACTAAGCACTTACCAAAATGGTTGGCACATATGAGTTCTCAATGTATGTTCAGATTACCTTTGTGAAATAGTTCCTCTTTGTATAAAACACAGGGCTTGAAAGAAGAAAAGAAAAAGTAAAAAAGAGGAAAAATAAAATAACTTAAACTCAAGGTTATTATATTAATAAAAAGTTGCTTACTTATAACTTAAAGGGCATGTTGGTTGGGTTTTTGTTGGGGTTTTTAAATGAAAATATTTTCTGTGTTCAAAGAGCATGTTATAGTGCTACTCCTTGTCCTCCTACATGAATAGAGTTTCTGTCCTCTACTGCAGTGGCTCAACCTCATTGTCTGCCTACTCTGCCTGCCTGGATATGCGAACTATGTCAAGCCTTCCTTACCTATGAATACTTCCTCACACTGCTGCTCTGCATTTCTCTCCCACACGATAGCTGAGGATTTTATCACAATACCCATGACCATTTTTCTCTCTTTCTTGCATTTCACTAAGAATTCTTAATTGTGATGACTCAGGAGGGAGAGGGATCAAAATGCCTAAAGACATGCACGCAGGGACAGACACACACACACACACACACACACACACACACACAAAGAGAGAATCATAATTTAGTTTATCATAGGATTTAATTCATAGAATCTTTTACAAAGCTGTAAGGACCAAGGCACTTCTTAGAAAGATAAAATCATCTCGTTTTGAAGGTTCAAATAGTTCACTTATTCATTTTTATAAGTTTTGGAGACAGAAGGAGACATTATGTGGAGTTATCTTTTGTCCTAATGAATGGGCAGCTGATCACTTGAAGAGCCATTCATTGCTCAGGCCTGACACTGCCTTTCCCCATTGGACCTCTGTGAGAGTCACATGCTCTGGGCATCTTTGAAAAGACTCTTCTAATGAGCCTGGACATCTCAATTGAGTCTCCTGAATCCCAGCTAGAAGCTACAGCTGTGATCAACCCATATCCATCACGATGTGCAACAAATTCCTGGGCACCTGGAAACTTGTCTCCAGTGAGAATTTTGATGACTATATGAAAGCTCTAGGTAAGAAACTGTTCTTTATCATTTTAGTTGAGTAAGATCTTTTTTTTTTAAAAAAAAAATGTGTAAATTATAAATACACCTCAAGAGCATTAAACAAAAATTGGAGAGTACTCTGATTCAATACTTTACATGGTTTTTTTAAAAAAAAAATCCTTAATTTATATAATTATTTCCTTCTAACTCATTTTCCAGGAGGATGGGGAAGATTACACAGGCTGAAGAACATGGTCTTCTGGGATTATTATTATTTTCATTTCATTGACAATAGTTTTATTAGCCTTTAATCTCAATGGGACTTCCTTGAATGCATGGAACTTTCACTGACTTCAAATGTAGCTTCATATCAATCAATCTTTTGTTCCAACTCTGAGATGAGAGATCTTAGAATCTAAGGCAACACATTTTTCTGGCTTTCCTTAGAGTTACTTTTGTAACAATTTATGTGTTCTTAAAAAAAGACATTCAATATATTTTAAAAGGGCAGAAAAACCCTGTTTTAAATTTTCTTGTTTAGTTAACTAAAATTTAGTTTCTTGATCCAACCTGTAGGTCCCACAGTATTACATACACATAGAGATACAAAGAGTTTGAGACAAAAGAGCAAGGGAGGCAAAGTATTACATATGGTTAAAGAGTCAATCATTAGTTACAGAAATTTAATGTTATATTTCTACAGAAATACATATGTATATGGTCACAATAAACATGAAGAACTTGGGAGCTTTTCAGAGTTGGATAAATGCTATGGAGAGTGACGATGATGACGTTGGGTAGTCATGCTTGCCAAAAGTCTTCTCATTTTCTTCACCTATTCAGGCAGGTTATTGAAGAAATTCTATTTTTAGATTCAGTGAGCAAAATCATGAAGACTTTGTTGCCTAGAAAGCTATGTGAACCTTTGAAAATAGATCCATACGACAAGGTTTTGGGTTCTGTAGGAGCCTGGTTAGATTTATTGACTTCATATGTCAGAAAGAAGCAAAATATACCACAATCTTAGTGATAGATTTAAGGCCGTTGAAATACAAGACAGGGTTAGAAGGTTCGATTTTTCACAAATTTCAGAGTGCATAAGAAATTTAAATGATTCCAGATTTTAACGTAAAAATTCTACTTTGACCAGAGAAATAACACGTGAAATAACAAAAATTAAAAAATTAAACAGACTAAAATAATGAGTGTATTGGTTAAAGGATTTTATTAGCTATAATTCCTCAAGGGTTTTGGTGGGTTTTATACATATATACACACACACACATATATATATATATATATACTAAAAAAAACCCCAAGTTCATTAATATCAAATTGACCCTTCATTGGGTTTCTGAGGCTGTAAACGGCATGGTGAGAAATGGTCCATCTTTCTTCTGTAGAGCTGCTGGTTGCTTGGAACTACCTTTAGGCTGGCAGTGCAACTCTCTATAGACTACACCAGCACAGCTTCCCATATTTTACTAGGAGAAGCAAAACCGTTGAGACTTCCAACAGAAGCCTTCAAATGAGGTTTTCCTTCATATATATATATATAACTCTCATTTGATATTTTGCCTTTGTATTTTGTGGATGTGTGCTGTTGAGCCAAATAGACTTATAACTGACTCCCATATCTGGTTTTCAGAGGCTGTAAATTACACAAGAGAGTACACATCTTTCTCTCCTGGAGTTACTGGTGCATTCCAAGTGTGTACCTTTAGGTGAACAGCACAGCACCTCACCACTAGGCCACCAGAACTCCCTTGCTACCGCCCCCACCCTCATCTTGAACGATAATTGTAATACTAAGGAAATATAAGAACCCAATTTTGCTTTATTTGTCAATTGTAGAAAATCTGTGCTTCTTCGTAACTGCATAGGTCTTAAAGCTAAATGGAGAGGGGGTTTTTTGTTTGTTTGTTTTTGGTGGTGGTGGTGGTGTGTTTTTTTTGTTTGGTTTTTTTTTTTCATTCTAGCTAGACAGGAAAAAAGAGATATGGTAGTGTAGTGAACTAAATTCTGACTTTTTAACTGTAGGTCGTTAGTACAAATCCAACAGATACTATACAGGAAAAACAAAAGCAAATACTCTTTTCTTGTAATGACTTACAGCCTGGGAAGCATGATTAAACGTTGCTACAAGGTGGAATCAATTCAAAGGCAGTAGGTATTTTGAGTTTTAGACTTAGAAAACATACACACAATGAGATTCTATTACAGGCAGTAAGAGTATTCTTTATATCAGCAGGTTTTCAGAGGCTGTAAATTGCACAGGAGATTGCCCCTTTTTTTCCTTCTTCTGTTGGAGCTGCTAGTGGATTTAAACCATCAAAGAGACTCTGTATTTGAGTTAGCAACACAATTGCCTATGGATTATCCCATGGAGCTCCCCAAATAATGTATACAGTCCTATAATTAGTGGTTTCCAATGGCAAGGGGGACCAGATATGGGAAAATAGGGGCAACTTGCACTGTTTAGATTGTTTACTTTTAAAAATCTTGAGACATTAAAAAAAACACCTTAAAATATTCTAACCCATGAAACACATGGGAGGAGACTCAGAAATAAGTCATATTGCTTGTCACCTGCACACTTAACGCACTGCTGAGAGAGATGGCCACATCTGTCTCTTCTCCTTTTTTTTTTTTAAAAAAAAAGAAACAAAAGCTCAAAGAAGCTTCATTAAGGGGGCTCACCGGTGGGATTCCTTGGTCTGGAGAGAGAGACAGAATGGGGAAAAACCATCCCAGTCTTTTATGGTGTGCTTCTTGGATGATGCAATTCTAACACTAGCTTGATTTTTCAGGTGTAGGGTTGGCCACCAGAAAATTGGGAAATCTGGCCAAGCCTAGTGTGATCATCAGCAAGAAAGGGGACACTATAACTATAAGAACAGAAAGCACTTTTAAAACTATGGAGATCTCCTTCAAGCTAGGTCAGGAATTTGAAGAAACCACAGCAGATAATAGGAAAACAAAGGTAAGCTTAAAAGTGCTCTGCAATGTTTCTTCAGTCTTCTCTCTAAGAAAGAGCAATTATTACTGCTAATGTTCCCCAATATCAATCCTGTTTTAGAATGAATGTCCTACATGAAACATTTACGATGAAAATATTTCAATATTCAATAGTTTGCTTCTTTGACCAGCTAGTTTTCAGGCAAGTCAAATATGCGAACATGTCTTTACAGAGCGTTGTAACCTTGGAGAGAGGCTCCTTGAATCAAGTACAAAAGTGGGATGGTAAAGAGACAACAATAAAGAGAAAACTGGTGAATGGGAAAATGGTCGTGGTAAGTGTATTTTTACTTCTGAATACAGAAGAATGCTGTTTAAATAGAGAACTTGGTGGTGGTGTTTTCAAAATACCACTTTTTCTTTAGTAAACAGGTAGGCCAAAACTACTAAGAATAAAGTCATCCCACTTAGGCTATCAGAACTGGTTAATACAGAGTTCATTAAAGATCTCCTTTAGTCAACAGTTAAGAAGAACAAAAGTTATGGTATAAGACTAGTATTTTTAAAAATTAAGGAAAGGTTTCTACCTAGATAGAACCAATATTGGAAGAACAGGATGGGAAGAGAGGGAGAGGAGAGTAAAAAATTAAAAAATAGATACATTGGGAAATGAGAAAAGCAACAGATAATAAGGAGTTGATTAGAGATGTCATAATCAATTACGTTAATCAGTGACAATGTTATAAAGCAATATGCCTATGAATTATTGTATGACAAGTAAATATGATTTGTAAGCTCTCACTCAAATGAAAAAAAAATGACAAACATTATATCTCAAATGAAAACAATGACAAACATTATATTAAAGAATCCATAATGATGTCTTTAAGTTAAAATTTGGTATTACCTGCATTGAATATAGAGTTATGCAATGTTTCGATTGTTTCTTACACATACACAGGCCTATCAATTTATCATGAGAGCTGAACAAACCAAACAAATGACACTGAGATTCTACAAAGTTGAACACAAATCTCTGGGTAGAGGGAAATAAGGGATGCAAGGGAGGAAAAATTTTGTTCGGACAGTATTATTGTGCAGATAGGCTTGAAAGAAGTATTAGTAGGTTTATTAAATGTACACATATTTATGCTTAAGTTTAAATATAAGTTTTACTCTAACGCTTTTGAATTAATATAGAAAAAATTTTCTATACCAGATTTCAAATTTTCATAGATCAGAATTATTAATTACTAGAGAATGACAATATAATACTATATTCTTTTCTAAGTTCAATCGCTTATTTTAAATTTCTACCTTTAATGAGAATTTGCTGATCCCTCATTTGAATTTTAGGTAACCAGTTAATCTCTCTCTCTTTAAGGAATGTATGATTAAAGGTATAGTGTGCACCAGAATCTATGAGAAGGTCTGAGAAAATCATCCCCTCACTGAAATGGCATTTGATCATTTGATGTTGAAAATCAACTGCTTCTACTGGCAAGGCCTGACTGTACTGCAGATTATTTTGTTCTCATTTTAATGTCAGATAGGAAAAGACCTCAGCTGAGGATTAACCTAGTGTTTGTCATTGTTTAAACACTTCCAATTTGGATGTATGTATATTAGTCAGACTCAAATAGTTAATGATACCATTAAATGATCTAAGAAATTCTAGTTTGTTGTAATTTGTATATTGAACTGAAATTAAAAGAAAAGTTGTACTGGAATTGATCAAGAATAACAAACTCAAATACATTCAGGGACCAGAAGAAGAATATATGAAAAGGACCATATATAAGACAATTTAGGAAGACAAGCTTTTTTTAAAGTAGGAGCTTTCATCTCCACAAAAAAAAGAGCAGATTCTACTCTATTACAGACAATGGTTTAAAATTTTTAGTGTGACTTATATACACAAATTTAAGAGAATTCTTTCCAATAACAAGTCCATGCAACTCATATCGTCATCCTGACCAAATTGTAGAACATTTCCTTGAGTCCAGAAAGTTCCTTCCTAATGTCTTCCTCCCCACCTAACCCCCAACCAAAACAGGTAGTGATTTTGTTTTCATCACCCAGATTATTGTTGCTGTTGGGTATTCTTGAGTGGGAACCAACTCATAGTTAATATATAATAATACATAATTGATATATAAATTATATAACTGTGTATATATGCATACACACATACATTTATATGTATAATCATATATACATGGCATATATTTATTCATTCTGTCCAAGGGTGTAGAAGCAAACTATCTTCTAACTACAGTACTATTTGGTTTAATAATTGTTACAGTGACTTCAAAGAACTTACAGACAGTACAATTATGGAGAATAATGAGGCAGTAACAGGTTACAATTTAGGCTAGAAACGTTCAGAGGAAACAATTCTTCAATCAACCCAACTTCTTCTTGGATATGCTCATGGGCTTCCTCTGGCCTTCAGCTCCATGATTCTAGGCCAATGTCACTAATCTCTTTTACTTCCACCATCATGGAGCCCCATCTCAACACCACTCAGCCAATAAACCTAAGTGAAGGCCCTCAGTTTTCGCTCCATGGGCAGGAAGTTTTAGTTCAACTGTACTTGCACCAATCTTTTTTCTTTTCCTTCTCTTTTTTCCTATTCTTTTTTTACATAAAAATTTTTTTATACTGGTTTACTTATGAAGTTTGTATACATTGTTTTCTCACACTAGATCATTCCCATTTCCTTTTCCCACACCTCCTTCCATCCATCAAATTGTGTGATCTTATGATTAACCAACCAACCAACCAACCAACCAATCAACTCCACTTCTCCGCCCCTCCTAATTCTCATTCCTCTGCATCCACCCCCCCACTCCCAGATCTTCATACACATTCTGCAATAATGGTCTTATACAGTATTTGTCCTTATGGGACTGAGTTAGTTCACGTAGCATAATGTTTTCCAGTATCTCCCAGGTTAGGCGGTGATTTACAAAATCATTGCTCCTGTGTGCTGTGAAGTATTCCATTGTGTGAATGTACCATAATGTCTCAATGCATTAGACTGTCGTTGGACATATTGGGTGTTTGCATGTTCTTGCGATGGTGAATAATGCTGCTATGAACATTGGTTGCACCAATCTTTGGTTGTAAACCAACTGTGCTGGTCTGTTCCTGTTGTTACTACTACTGATTGTGGCCTTTTCTGGGTCTCCATCTAGTACAACAGTCTCTGGCCCAAAAGAACATGTTATAGTCTCTATTTATTATTTCCTTATAGTAGTGAAAATCCTGTTTTCTGCCTCTGGATTTGCTCAATTTTAGCCTGATAGGAGGGCAAAACTGACCATTAATCACTCAATCATTGCTGTCATGTTGGAACTGGCTCATAGCTGACTCTCCAGCTAATTTTCAGAGGCTGTAAATTGCACAGGAAGACATTGCTCATCTTTCTCCTGAGAAGTAGCTGATGGATACAAACTGCCTGCCTTTGGATTCCCAGCATTACTCCTTACATGCTAGGTGGCCAGAGCTTCCAATCTACTTACTTGTATGTTCTTAGTCAAAATATGCTATTTATCTTAATTGTATTTTTATTAATCCATTCTGTTCACATAGTGGAACCACAAACATGTCACATTAATAAAAGCCTGGGTTCAGAATCCTTGTTTATAAAGTTGATACAAGTCAGCCATGTGCTGAGAGGCAAAGTCAGTGGCTAAAAAAGCTAAACAGAATATCCTTTAAAGCATACATTTCATGAAGAATGAGACAGATTCTAAAGAAAGATTTTCTTATTAGAATGAAAAAGAGGGGGTTTTGTTGATTTCTTTTTTTAAATGTCACTATTATAAAAGACAAAAATAGCTGTTGAAATGTTTTAGATTAAATGATTAAAAAAAATACATGTACAACTAATTGCTGTAAGTGATCTTAGAGTGAATCCTTTACCAGAGGATAAATGATCCAACATTGAGTCAATGGCAACATTGAGTCAACTGGAAAAATTAGAATATTAAGAATAAAAGAACACTATGTTATATAACAGCTCTATACTAGAAAATACACAATATTATTTTAGAGTAGAGAACCATGATGCATGCACTCTAGAAAAAGAACAAATATTATTTATGTGTGCATGAATGCACGTATGCTCACACACACATAAATACATGCATATTCATGTACATAATATATAAAGAGTATGGTTGGTGGGCAGAAAAGGTGAAATAAAATATTAACAAAAGAGGAATCTGGACAAAGATTACATGTGGTTTCTTTGAATTAGTCTAATTTCTGCAACTTTCTTCTAAGTTTTAAATTATCTCCACAACACCACAAACCAAGAAAACAAAGAAACAAACAAAACCAACAAAATGAGAAAGAAAAAGGAGACAAAGGAAGACAAGAAGGAAGCTGCACTTGGTGAGCCTTTCTCTGCCTCTGGGTCAGCTGTGTCATTAGTCACTAACGGAGAGGTGGGGTTTTCTGGATCTGGAGGCAAATTAACCCATTAAAGGAAGAATTTTAAAAACTGTGTTGCTAATTTTAGAAATTTGTAATAATAAGATTTGCTGTAAAATGTGTTCCTCAATAAATACAATTGCTCTATTATACAAATGCCGTGGATACTTTTCACTTTTATAACAGGAAACATACAACTACACTGATAAAACCAAAGACAAAAGACCTCACGCTGGCAGGTGGTACCTGAAAAGCATTAAAAATCAATCGGAAGAGAGAGAAAAGAAAAACTTGAGTTCTGCAATAATGAAAAATAACTCAGAATAATATCCCAATTGTGGCATCAGGTTGCCTAGTTCAAATAGTTATTTATTGCTTACTGTTCTAACTGTGTTCTTGGACAAATTACTTGCCCTCTCTGTCTCTTTACCTGTAAAATAGGAAATGATATGACAAACCTCAAAGAGTTTTGAAGAATAAATGAAATAATACATGTAAAGTGCTTAGAGTAGTTCTTAGCATAGAAAAAGCAAAGAGAACTTTAGAAAAATCTCTGACTTTTGATATATTAAGTGATCCTTATATGAAATGATTACATTTATTAAATAGATAATGTATATAAAAGTCAGAATAATCAAGAAAACTAATAAGGTGACTTCAAAGATAAGCCAACAAACATTACTCTATGAAACTACTAATTTAAAAAACTTTTAAAATTGGGATGTAAGACTACTACAATAATTTAAATGAAGCTACATAAGTAGATTTAATAATAATTTTGATAAGTGTGCTATCCAGTCACTTATGACTCATAGAGAATTTATGCACCAAATCCTGTCTTATTCTGAGCCAATCTCACTGTCTCTGGCACATCTACTCCCCTTTACCCCAGTTATTGTGTCAATCCATCTCCCCTGGGGCCTTCCCCTCTTGCACTGTCCCTCCACCTTTCCAAGCATGATGTCCTCCCCAAAGACTGGTCCCTCCTGGCAACATGCCCAAAGTATGTCAGATGGAGCTTCAAAATTCTTGCCTCCAAAGAGAAAATTGGTTTCACCCTTTCCAGGACATACCTATTTGTTTTCTTGGCAGACCTTGGTATATTCAACAGTCTTCTCCAGAATCACAACTCAAAGGCATCCCTTCCTCTTCTGTCATCTTTATTTACTGTCAAGCTCTCTGATGGATAGCAAATTAATTGCAAAGTCCATGGCCTGGATCAAGCACACCTTAGTCTCTATACTGACATCTTTCCTTGATAACATTTTGGAGAGGTTTCTGATGACAGATTTTTTTTAAATACAATTCATGTTTGTTTTTTTTTTTTAATTTACTGGTTGCTGGTTCCAAGAGAGTTGATTGTGGAGATAATGTATCTGCTCTCTTGACTATACTGAATCCAAGGTTGTGTCTCTTAAACTAAGCTTTGAATCAACAAACTGAAACCTAGATCATTTCAATTTCCAGTAAATTTTTTATTTCCTCAAGAACCAAAATTTAAATGAATGAATCAGTACTTGAGCCCTCAACTATGTTATGATCTGGCTAAGAAGTTCCCAGTTAGCCATATAAGGAAAGGATTGGAAAATATATCACTTTTTGCTCAGTATTAATTACTGCCTTTTTCTTACATTGTCCATGTGTCTCTGGTCTCTTCCACTTGTTCTTTGGAGCTACTGTCTGACTTCCAGATGAGACACATTCAAATTCATGTATTGTAGATAAAATTTACATCTATACACAAAGTCATCGTTGTGGAAACTTTATTTTTAGTGTATCTGGCATTAATCAATGTTATTTATAATAATGGGGTGGGATTCCAGAAGTTTATTGTGCTCATACAAAACTTGTATGTTAACCAAGAAGATGCGCTCATATACAACAAGAGAATACTGCATAGTTTAAAAATGAGGAAGTGTATGTCAGAGTTGTATCCTTTTCACCACATTTACTCAAGATTTATACTAAGTAGATAATCCAAGAATCTGACTG